ACATATCCAAGTTCTGCTATTCAAGGGCATCGAGTTGCCTTAGTTTTGAAGTCACTCCTCAGAAAGCTTAGCTGGAAATTACCTCCCCCTTCCTTTGAATTTCCATAGATTTTTTTCTTGTACCCTCTCATGCTGTATTGGGATGCTTTTTCTGATTTGTCTGTCCTTTCTGGGGGTAAATAGATAGAATTAGGCCTGGTAAATCTGTCAGGTTGAGTGAGACCTGCACCCTACTGGTCTTGCACTGAGTTAGTTAAGATGATATTGGGTGATGTGAGATTAATAACTTGATCCAATTTAGCATCTTTGGAGAATTCAAGTTAAGTCACCCCAGTTGCTTAGAATCACTTTACTCCACAAGAAGTTAAAGACTAGAACAAGTTGTTGAAACCTCACTCATAGGCTCTTTCAGCATCATAGATTGCAACTATGCACCTATAGTCTTAGCTCTCAAGAAACATTTGTCTTTTTAGCGCTTACAGCTGCAAAGCTAAAAAGGCAGATTTGAATGATTCAAGTGAGTTTATTTAAAACATTGGCTTTTCTGAAAACAATCTCACATTGCCTGTTCTGTTTATGCCTTCATATTTTACAAGATATAGATTGTCTTAGGCCTTTTTAAATATACCTGCAAATCTCTAGTGAGTAGCAGGTACAAAGTTGAGGGATTGAGGGAAGGACTTTGAATGTATGTTATATGGTAGCTGTATACATACAATATACAGCAGTGGCTGTTCATTTAATAAATCTTATAATTAACAACAACAAAAAAGACGTTTTTTGCAAACTTGGAATAGAAGGGACCTGGGATATCTTTAACCTGAAAAAGGGTATATACTAAAAATCTAAAGTGAGCAATCATATTTAATGATGAAACTTTAAAAGTTTTTCCATTAACACCAGAAAAAATATAAGAATGTCTGCTGTTTCTGGTTATGTTAAACAGTATGCTAGAGGGTCTAGGCAATGGAATAACAGAAGAAGAATTAAGAGAAGAGATAAAATTGGTAGTGAGAATGGATCATTTTGCTGTTTTCCAGGGAATTCCCTGAAAGAATGGCTCTGCTGCTCCAGCTCCGGAGTTTAATACAAATTTAGGTTTAAAAAGGTCAAGTTCAGTTATAGTTGATGCTGTCTCTATCTCATTATAGCCTAACTAGGTAGTGATAATTAAAAGAGTGTTGTTCCAGAGTGATTGAAGAGCTTCTTTTTCATTTAGCGGTTACCTTCATGGGCTATACAGGTAGTCCCTAACTTACAGTGGGGTTCCATTCCGACTACTTCATCATAAGTTAGTTCTGACGTAAGTCTAAAACCTTTTTTTCCCCATTATTACTGCCTTTTATTATCAGTATGTTTTTTAATCCAATCTTTGAACATCTGCAAGTAAACATCAGAGAATAATAACATTAGCAAATCACATGCTGCAACATTGTATGTAGTACATATTACTAACAATAAGATGTACAAAAAAAAAAACAGCCAATCTTAGATGTGGTTTGTCGTAACTCGAATATGTTGTAAGTCGGGGACTACATGTACAACTAAACTGATGAGATTAGTTTATCCTAGCACCAATAAGTAACTTTACAGATTTTAAGGATGTCTGTGAGAAAAAAATTACCTACTCCTAATAAGTTAATTCTGACTAATGTTTGTGCAAAAATAAAATGAATTAAAAGTGATATGGAATTGAAAATGAATGGAAGAAATTTCCTATGATAAAACCGTAAGATCCCTTAAACATACATTCTGATTTAGGGTTGTCTTAGTCCGAATTTACATCTGTTCACATTTTGGGTTCTATCCCAGAGCCTTAAGGTGCAAACTTAGCTGAACTTAATCATAGCTTTAAAAGCCAAGGTAGCATTGTAGACCCATGGTGAATTTTAATTGTAGTCATTATTTACTGGTAACCTGGACAGACTACATGGCATGTACTGTTCTGTGTCAGTCACTGCCCCCTTCCTCTCTACAATCTCATTTTACTGTCATTTGTCATATTTTATGGTTTGTTTATCTCTCCTCTTCTCCTAGGAAGCTGGAATTTTCTTCTGCTGAATGCGTCGAATGAAATATTTGGAAAAGCAAACCACAATGTTTCAGGATGTTTTTGTTTAGGGACAAGAATTAACATTTGAGTTAAATTGTCTTTGAGTTATTTTCACATTATTTATATATTTAAAATGTTTAGGTTCGTGAATCCATCTTCAACATATTTTTGCGCATACATTCTTCATTGTTCAAAATACTGCTTTCATAAAATTCATAGTTTTCATATCTACCCTGTCTATCCTGGACCTATGATTTTTCTCTTTTTGTTTTTTGATGAGACTATAGAGGCTAATATTTAAGAGAGGGAGAGAGAAGTTTCCTGGCCTGTGTTACTAGATAGACCATGATTTCTGCCTCATTTCAACTTCTGTGTGCCAAGTTGATAGGATGGGACAGGTGGGCATTCTGCTGACCAGCATCTGATTGGCGAGGCTGTAGGCGAATGATGGATGGATGTGTCTGATGACAAAATAAGCAATGCCATGAATATGAGTGTGCAGAGTAAAATTGGGAACAGCAGATGGTTGGGCTAAGCTGTATCCTATTTCTTCCTCAGTTATGAGATTTGCCTTGGCCATCTATTCACGGAAGCCAGCTGGGATTGTCCATTAACTGCCAGCACTCATTAGTTTGAGTAGAAGTGACTTGTTGCTTTCTTCAGAGTTTGTTCAGCCTCTCGTTTCTGTGTGTATGGCTTTCTGTTCATCTGATGGTAAAACATAGGATATTCAAAAGCAGAATTAAATGTGAACTGACCTTTCCTTAGAGAACATCCCAGTTAGATACCATTTCCACAATAGGATTTTACTTTGGCAACTGACTTTTCCCTGTTCTTTTCCTTTAATCCTCTGACATTTTAAATTCTTGTTATCTTTGCTATTGCTACTTTGGATCTGATCCCTGAAAGTTCTTCCTGTGTTGGGAAGAGAAGACTATTTCTCAGAAAGCACTAAAACAGAATATAGGGCTATAATAAAAACTTAAAGTAAATCTAAAAGCTATTTTTAACTTTCTTTTGTAATATATAAAATTTAATTCACTTGATCCAAAATACCTTTAAGAAACATGTTTTAATTTCCAAAACTTACCTGTTAATTCAAATAGTTCTATAACAGATACTAAGTTCATTATAACTCATTTTCCTTGGGCTGGTTTAGAGAGGTTCTGCAGTCATCTGAGGTGACTACAGAACTTCAGAAAGGTAGAAACTGAGTAGGTTTATGTGACGTATGGAACCAACAGAGAAGCCTGGCAATGCAACTTGGAGTCACAAAATGCACGTTGGAGTCATGCTTGCACTATGTCCTTGGGAAATCCAGGTTATGAAAGAAAAGGAGATCCATCTTACACGTGTGCTGTTTATTTTAGTGTTCTCTAGTCAGGTTCTTCCAGTAGCAATTTGAATTTGATGGAGATTTAACAAAGTGTAACTTATTGGAAGTAAATAGGAAAAAATGAGTTGGGGGTGGGGGGAGCAAGTGGTAAAGTGAAAGGTGGATCAGGAAGAAGGTGGTTGTAATAGCGCTCCTTAAGGAGGGTTATTGTTGAAGCACAGTACACCACAGCATTAGATGTGTACTCTTCAACTTTTGTGGGGTTAAGGAGTTGAAGCTTCACTCAGCTGACTTAGAGGGATCCTACTATGTTGATATGTTCAGGTATGAAATTCTCACTACAGTATTCCATGAGTTAGGAAAGGAGTTTGAGAAATACCCTCGTTGGCTCTGGGAATTTCTTCCTCAGCTATCTGATTTAAGTAGGTTACCCAAAGTCATCTGGGATGACAGTGAAACCCAGGGGACAGAAATGAACACGACCCTTCTCAAAGTCGGGAGCATTTACAGTGCCACTATCAGAATGCCATAGATTGCCAGGATTGACTGAGGTTATCTGGCTGACTAGGAGGATTTCATTTCCTTTCTCACTGTTGTATGTGCTTCTGTCCATGTATTAAGTATTGTAAATATTAGAAATGTAGTCAAAAGGAATATTTATTCTCTCCTCTAACTGAGATATTTAAGGAATACCCACTGCCACTGAGTCAGTTCTGACTCATAGCGACCCCATAGGGTTTCTAAGGCTATAAATCTCTACGAAAGCAGTCTGCCACATCTTTATCCAGCGGAGCCACTGGTAGTTTCAAACCACCAACCTTTCGGTTAGCAGTCGATCACTTTAACCACTGTGCCACCAAACCAAAAAAAAAAAAACAAGCCCATTGCCATCAAGTCGATTCCAACTCATAGCGACCCCATAGGACAGAGTGGAACTGCCCCAAAGGGTTTCCCGGGAGTGGCTGGTGGATTCAAACTGCCGACCTTTTGGTTAGCAGCCAAGCTCTTAACCACTGTGCCACCAGGGCTCTTTATATAAGGAGGTGGCCTCAGCTGAATCCAGGGACTTTGCTGGGATCTTTACTGCTCTGTCATTTTTTCTCCATCTTTTGGCAACTTTGGCATTGAATTGATTCCCTTGCAGGCTCTCCCTGCTAGTGGCAAAGATGGCCATTAGCAGTGCTCACCTTTTGTCCTACCAGCTTAGAAATCTCAGCCAAAAAAACCCATCTTTTCCTGATAGTTTCAACTGAAGTACCAAGGCTTTCTCATTAGTCTAACTTGACTAAACCTATCTCTGTAACTTACTGGCTGACGTGGATCTTTTTGCCCATCTCTGGAGCTTCAGGGTGGTATCAGCCCCTCCTGAACCATTATGGACTGTGAATGGGGAGGGATGGTTCCCCAAAGAAAAATTGGGGTGCTGTTAACATTAGAAGAGGAAAGGGATGCTGGACAGTCAAAAACAATAAAATGTCCACTATATCTATCCCTAGAGCTATTTAATAGAAGATTGTCCCCAGCCAAAAGTACACTAGCAACTGGGCTCCTTAGTTAGAACCTCCACTATTGAAGCCTAACCCCTCCCACCCTGCCTCTGTTTCACTACAGGTACCTGTTTCCCAAGTTTACTCTGTGCTGGACTGAATTTGTAGACATGAAGGTTCATGTGCCTTGTGAAACCATTGAATACATTGAAGCCAACTATGGTAAGACCTGGAAAATTCCTGTGAAGACGTGGGACTGGAAACACTCTCCCCCCAATGTGCAGCCCAATGGAATCTGGCCTATTTCTGAGTGGGATGAGGTTATCCAGTTATACTGAGACACTGGGTTGAAATGGGAGAATTCCTCTCCTGAAAAAAGGTGGTTAACTGTTAAAAAAAGGTACATAGCTATTTGTCAAATGTAGGTGAGAACCAAAGAAAAATGACAAGGGTGAAGACACAGAAAAAGCCCTAACTCTTGTGCAATGTGATTTATTCTCTCATTCAGCATTTATTGAGGGAGTTTCTCTGTGCCAGGTACATTGCTAGGTTACAGCTGAATGAGACAGATGTCTGCCTCCTTTCTCCTCCCTTTGGTAAGCGTTCTAATTTTCCTTTGAAGAAAACACTCCCACCCTTTTAAGAGCTCAGATAGAATGTGATATGTCTCTATAAGGGTTTTTTAAAAGTTTGATAATGTTTAGATTGGAAGATGAGCCCACTAGGCAAAGCTAAGGAAGGATATACTAGTTAAAAAGAGTAACCTGTTCCTTCTGAGCATTTAAACTGGTGTGTTAGTGCTACTTTTAAGATTGTGGAGTCTGAGTTAATAGTTAAGTGATCAGACTTTAAGTGACATCAAGAAAAGATGCTAGCAGATTCATTTTACAAGCAACCTGATGTGGAATTCATTTAGAGCATAAGACATTATTCTACAAGAGCTTATTTCCAGCCTAGTCAAAGATGAGTAAACTTCTATACACTCTTACTATTTTCACGTTTGATGTGAGAAGAAAGCTTGTGCTTGTGTGGTGGTTCGGTTTCCAGCCATTGCCCAAATATTTTCACTGACCTTAGATGGCCTTGTTGACAAATTGTTCAAGTGAGACCATGCTATCAGACATGATTTTGAAAGGGTTGTGATTTTCACAAAACTTATTTTTCTTATTTTATTCTTAGCCACTCTGTTAAGTAAGAATGTAACTACTGATGGACATTTCATATTTTCTGAATTTATAATGCTTGCACTTCCAATTTTAATATTAACTAAAATATTAATAGAGATACCTCTGATTTTTCTAAGTTTACTCTTCAGTGTATTCATTCATAAATTACAGCTCCATATCTTTAATTTGTGGCCTATAAACCAATTTAAATGGCATGTAAACCTATCTATTCCCTCTACTCTCCCACTGCTATATCAAGTCTCCAAAAATAGAATATAAATGATGAACCTGGTCACTGTTTCCCACCCCAGATGATAGTGTTTGTAAAGTTTGTGTCCATCCCTAGTCAATCTGTTGAATATGGAAGGGGCAAGAATTCACAGTTCCTTACTTTGTCAAGTACCACCAACTCTGGAACCCTCAAGTTTCCTTTTTCCCATCAAGACACATCCCTCAGTGGGCTGGAATGGCCATCTCCCCCATCCATTCATGGATCACTTTAATTATATATTTAAAGTGAGAGGTAAAGGGAAATACAGGCACAAACACTGCTATTTTTTTTTTGTTGTTGTTCTAGAAAGAAAGTCTTATATCTTATCTACGTGGCTTAGGATTACTTCTGGACCAGCTTGGCAGATTTTGTCCTAAGACTGGAGAATACTAGAAATTTCAGAAATAGAAACCACAAGTCTGAGGGAATGGGCTGACAGAGTTTCCCTAAAACAAAGTTGAGGAAAAAGTAACCTACAACCACTCCACTCAATTTTCAAAACAATAGCAAAAACTTTCTTTGATAAATTATATCCAGCAGCTGCCTTCTCTTATGATGAGCTCTCAAGGCAGAATCATTGTGTTTTTTCATCAGTAACGTGGTCAGGTTTCCAGAGATCTTTATAAATTATCAGCAAACTTGTCCCTAACTGGCAGGCCATCATAATCAGCTTTCTCTGTCTTAGAAAATCAGCCTATAGAATTCACACCCAAATTCAAAGTAGTTGACTCTAACTTCATTTTTTTATGCTTAAAAAAAATATAACAGATAACATAGTGTTTCTGGGCAAAATCCACCCTACTTGGTGAGGACCATTTGCTTGTGCTCAGCATCTAGAAGGGCACACACGCAACATAATCTGCCAATTCCAAATTGGAACTTCCACTGTTTGCAAGGGGATCTTACCCACCCTTGTTCAGGTTAGTTTTACCTGTCACTGGAGTCCAAGATCTTGGAGTGTCAGAAATCCAAGATATCTGTCTGCTTTGGTAGAGGTTCCATATCCTTTCCTTCATAGACTGCTGGCTGCTGAAACACCTCTCCTGTCAGCCTGCTGGTTTCACAGGCTTCAGCTCTTGGATGTTACCGTAATTCGAGAAGGAGATCCTTTCCCCTAGACCCTAAAGACCAAGCTGTCCTTTGATACAAATTTAGCCATACTTCTATCTTATACTTCTTAACAGTTGTACTCTTCTTGAGTGTCCAGAGACCTTGGGTCAGGTTGATCCATCATCAACAATCAGATCACCTTTCTTTCCTCACCTGAGTATGCCAATAATCAATCTCCTACTCTGACCACCTTCAGGAGCAGTTTGCCTTGCTTAGCAGGAGAAGACCTCCAATATTAACTTGTTGGAAATTAGGTGCCCGTCGATGTCGCCAGAGAGATCCTTAGAGGCAAGTTCCCTCTCAGTTAACAACCAGGTAGCACTCAGTCCTTCTCTAAGCAGGGAGCACTCGTCCTTTTCGTCTCTGCTGTAGCTACTGACATCTGAACCCTGGTATAAAACCACATTTCCCAAAATTGAGCATCCTTAAGAATAGCTGGTCAGTGGGATAACAGTTTTCCTTGATCCCCTAGCTACAAACCCTGAAATGTGACCAGTAGGTGGCAGAATATCTACCAGCATGCCCCAAAACAACTTAACACTGGTGTGAAAATCATCCTGCTTTTGCATCATAAAAGCTAAATGTAAAAGCTTAATGCAGTACTTTTTCTAACCCTCGTATTTTATAACTAAATATGTTCAGAGAGGAGTGATTTGAGCAAGAAACAGCTGAGGTTAGAACCAAAGAGTATCATGATTTCTAGCCCATTCTTATTTTGTTTGCTTCATGGCACAGCATCTTTAACCCTGCTTGAGGTGCTTTATAGGGAAGTCATCCAGTGGCTCAATGGGACTAAGTTTCAAAGTATTTCCCACTTAATATCTTTTTGTTCAGATTGAGAGATTCTGAGGTGACAGAGAGGTCCAATTTTCTTGTCCAGAATTCTTAGAATACCTTCATACCTTTATCTGAAAAATACCTTATTTACAAAAGATTAAATAGTTCATATCTGGAAGTGTCAACCTTTAGTCATGATATTCTTAATGTTTAGGAGTACCTGATTCTCCTAAGCTCAAGATATATCCCATTGCTTCTTTACCATTCTGCTTCCCCAGGGAACCAATCTGCCAACTGCCAACTTCTAGAGCCCCTCTTCCTAAAGCAACTCTTTCTGTCTCAACTCCTTTCCTTCATAGAGGGTCTTTACCTGGTAGTAGTAGTCTGTTTCAAGGAGCCCTGATGGCACAGTGGTTAAGCACTTGACTGCTAATCAAAAGGTCGGCATTGAGAACCCACCAGCCCCTCCGCAGGAGAAAGATGTAGCAGTCTGCTTCTGTAAAGATTATAGCCATAGAAACCCTATGGGGCAGTTCTGCTCTGTCCTGTAGGGTCACTATGAGTCAGAATAAACTTGATGGTAATGGATTTTAGTGATCTGTTTTACCAAAGAGAACAGTAGATGTAACTGGGGTGCTTTTCCGTTTTCAGGACTTTTTCTCTGGTTGGTTTGAAAGAAGTCTGGAGTAATTAGTTTCAAGTATTTAGACTGCTTTTAATTGTTCATACTGATACTCCCTTAAGGATACAAGTATTTGAGAGTGGATTCTGCTCAGTAGCTTTTTTCTTCTGTGACCCCAAACCATTGTTTCTATACTTCTGTGACCGCAAACCATAGTTTCTGTTCAGTTTCTATTCTACAAAGTTTTAAGTAGCACCTATGACAAGCAGTGTATTAAAACTTTACATGTAGGGAATCAGGGGTTTATAGGTTGGGAACCAGAGCTGCATCTGATAAACACACTGGAATGAGCTTCCACCCTCCAGTCTAAAACTTCACCAGTATCAGGAATCTAAGGCTACAAATGTTTTCTAGGTCTTCCCTCTAGTTTCAGTTTCTGGAAAATGAACAATTCTTTCATCCTCCTAGTTATAAATCCCCAGGTGAAATCTCCCCTCAACACTTAGTCAGAAAGTGTTCATTCCCACCTCCGAACACATAACTATCAGTTGTAACAGCTTTTAAAGCATGGAAAAACTCCAGTTACTGACCAGTCAAAACAATTTCTCTGAAGAAATGTCCTAGCAGCTATTTCTCTTTTTTTCCTCTTCTCTATTGTTGATACCTGGGCTAGGTTCCCTTTAACATTTTGATTAGGGAAGGCAGAAGGTTGCCATAAAAAGATCACAAGGTTTTGAATAAGGCCCAAGTCTGACTCCCGACTTCATTGTCATCAGGGACCTCTCAGCCTCAGTTTCCACATAGGTGAAATTGAGGAGTGATGGATACTTCTGAGGGTTCTTAGGAGGATTAAATGAGATGATTATGTAAAGTTCTTAGCATCAGACCTAGGATTAAGTAAGTACTCAAGAAATGTTTGTTTCCTGCTTCCAGGGCCCTTTTCTAATTAGTCCTCAAATGGAATTAAAGAAACTGTGGGCAGGACACATTGCCTTACTCAGAAAGTTGCATGACTGCATTTGCATAAGAAAAAAAAATTTTTTTTAAATTCTCTATCAGGGCATTGAATCCAAATTTTATGAATTTAGAGACATTTCCAAGTCACTTCCTTCTCCAAGAAGAATTTGTATTTTCATTTTGTTGGTCAAGCAGTTGTCTCCTAGGATCACTTTATATTATCCCATTGTTGTTTTTGTTAGTTGTCATCTAGTCAGTTCCTACTCATGGTGACCCCATGTGTGCATAGTAGAACTCCTCCATAGAGTTTTCAACGTATGCTATCTAATTCCTTGGTCCCAAGCATTTCACTCTGTACCTCTGTAGATTTGGTGCCTACATCTGCCCTGGACTTATCTTTCAATGTTGCAGCTTTTCCTAGAGATAAACCCCCCTTCTTGTTATTGCATCTTTGCCCAGCCAAAATCAGATATGTGTCGTGATTTGGAGATACAAAGAACTTGAAATATTTGGTTTAATTTAATTGTTTATGCTGATGAATGTATCAGTGTTAATGAAGGAGAATTGAAAATATCCATTTCTACCTTCTGCCCCAAATTTGTGTTTCTCTCTTTTACATGGATAAGTTCAATTGCAAATTCTCATTGACCAGGCAAGAATCAGAAGGGTATGTGATGCCATTTTAAACTGCCCTGCATCAGACTGAGATCCCAATTATAGCTTATAAGTCAAACAAGAAAAAATTAATGGTGGTATATTTTGTACAGTACCAGTACTAAAGTAGACAAGGGTAAATTTGTTAACGATATCTCTCTTTCTATATTTTCAGAACTTCTAGCCTAGAATGTTCCCGCTTGAGACCCTCCCCAGCCCAACCTAATACAGAGATTATGTAGGGACTCATTAGTCAGCAAAGTTGCTGTATACTTTGAGCAGCTCTCACAGTGGGGTTGAAAAGGAGAGTATGAAGGAGAAGTACAAGTACTGTATTTTGTTCTATAAAACAAGATACTGTCTCATGCTCCTTTTTTTTTTTTTAACTTAAAAAAAAATACAAGATTTTGCAGCCTCTAATGACTCATTCAGAGCATGGAGAATAGTTCATGTGTTTGTTAAATAAAAATCATATGTAACTATTTGCCCCTTCCATTTCATAACTTGAAATACATGCATATGCTTTTTCTAAACAAAGTCATGTTTTAAACTCAAGTAGATTTCAGTGTATGCTTACCAGTGCACTATTCAGTTTTATCTTCAGGTACAGATAGTTTGTGGTACTACTGAAAATATCTTCAGTCTTTTGATGAGAATTTGTAATATATAATCTAATTTGGGTTGAGAATAAAATTTTATAATCTCTTGCGATGTTTTGTGTTTATTTTCACATCTTGAAGTAGAAATAACACTCATAAACAATCCTATAAACTAATAATTTTGCCACCAGTACAATATTCCTAAAATTAAAGTCCAGGCACCCTATATACTTGGGAATCCAAGAGTTCTCCATTAGAACCTACCAGCAGAAGACCACAGCCACCAGGAACACACCTGTAATCAAACAGAGGTAGGTTTATTAGCTTCTTGCAGCAAGGGAGAACACCCACCATGGAAATAACATGTTTCAAGAAGAAGGGACTAGAAGGGGGTGTTACTGGATTTGAGCTAACTCAGAATTAGTGAAGAGTAGAAAAACGGCACAGAATAAAAAGTCTTAGTTTGTCCAAATTGAACAATGTCTAAAAAAATAATAACACACTGTGACCAAGTGGGATTTATTCCAGGTATACAAAGCTGGTCCAGCATTTGAAAAGCAATCAGTGTAATAACCATACAAGCTAAAGAAGAAAAATCGTATGATCATATCAGTTGACATAGTAAAAGGAGTTGACGAAGTTCATCTCTCATTGATTTAAAAAACTCAGTAAGTTAAAAATAGAGAGGAATTACTTCAGCTTAATAAAGAACATCTACAAAAAACCTATACATCAGACTTAATAGTGAAAGACTGAATGCTTTTCTGCTAAGATTAGGAACAGGGCAAGGATGTCTGCGCGCACCACTCTTACTCAACATAGTGCTAGAAGTTCTGACCACTACAATAAGGCAAGAAAAAGAAAAGGCATACAGATTGGAAAAGAAATAAAACTCTATTTGCAGATAACACAATTGTCTACATAGATATGACCAAACAATCTATTAAAAAATAAAACCTCCCAGAGCCAGTTAAGTTCAACAAGGTGACAGTATATAAGATCAACACTTCAAAATCAATCAAATTTCTATATACTATATTAACAATAAACATATGGAAACTTAAAAAACACAATAACATTTACAAACACTCCAAAATGAAGCACTTAAAACACGAGGATCTAAATGCTAAAAATGCTTATTGAAAGACATCAAAGAAGACCTAAATGAATAGAGATATATACTATGCTCATGGACTGGAAAACTCAACATAGTAAAGATGGCAATTCTACCCAGATTGTTCTATAGGTTTAACACAATTCCTATCAAAATCTCAGCAAGGTTTTTTGTAGACAAATAAGATTATCCTAAAATTTATGTGGAAAGGCACAGACCCTATAATAGCTCAAACAGTCATGACAAAATCAAATTAGTAGAAAGATTTGAAATCAAGATCAGAGTTTGTCTTGACATTTCAGTAGATATAAGGACTAGGTGTCATTAACGCTTTATGTTGCAGATGAGGGAGCTGCACTTTTAGAGATAACAGATGTTAAATCCTTGTCTTCTGACTTGAAACACAGTGGCTACTCTCTGCCAATTCTAATTAACTGCTAATCAAAAAAATATATATACTTTGAAAGCAACCTTTTATACTGAAAGTCGGAAAAATCACTCTACCTTTATTATGTAACTATAGTAGTCAAGACAGTGTGGTATTAGTAAAGGGATAGACATTAATCAGTGGAGTTAAATAAAGAATCTGGAAATTGGCCCACATAAACATGCACAACTGATTTTTGACAAAGGTGCAAAAAAGCAATTCAATGGAAGAAGGATAGCCTTTTCAACAAATGATGTTGGAGTGATTGGACACTCATAGGCAAAAAAATGAACCTTGACCCAAACCTCACACCTTATATGGAAATTAACTCAAAATACATTATGTACTGAAATGTAAAACTATAAAACTTTTAGGGGGGAAAAGAAAATCTTCAGGGCCTAGGGCAAGGCAAAGAGTTCTTAAGAGTTGACACCAAAAGCACATAAAAGGAAAATATGTCTTTCAGCTGTCTTAGTAGAAGAATGACAGTCTCATGGTTAGAGAAAGTATGATGGGACAAAGGAAGTTCTTACCCAGAGGGTTCCAGGGAACTAGAATAGGCATTTTAGGCTCAGATGAATTAGGGCAGGAGAGCTGGTAATGAGGTCCTAGGCTCTGGGGAAGACATGAAGGCACTTTCTGGAATGGGGTGGCGAGTGAGGCACAAGGGAGCCAATGGTAGTGCTCAGCCCAGACACAGTGTATAATCTGGGAGATGTGGAAAGAAGATAAAGCAGTTTCTACACCTGCTGCTTTAATTGGGAGCAGGATGGACTCTCCACATGGGGACAACAGAGGGCTTGGCTGTGGGAGTTGGGGAGAACAGAGGCCAGGAAAGAGGGCCCAGTAGAGATTAAATTCTAGGTCTTAACTTAGTCTTCATTTCCATATTGTTTGTTCACCTCTGGAGACTGTGGGCTCCAAGGGTAAAGAGGAGCTACTCCAGTTGTCCTAGGAAGGCAGCCTGTGCTAGCAGCTGACCTCCATCCTCCCAGCTACTCCCCACCCCCACAACTGTGGAGAAGGCTTGAGAGTCCCCAGGCTTTCTGAGGTATTCTGGGCTACTGAATCAGGCCAGACCAAGTCTATTTTATGATTACTCTTCCCCATTTCTGTCCAGCCAGATTCTGCCGCCTGGAACAGTGAGCCCAAGCAGGGACTGCTGGCTGATGGCGGCTGGGCCAGACATAGTCCCTTCCAGATCTCGGGAGCAGCGAGGGGGAAGAGCCAAGCACAGGTTTTAGCTTGTTAAAACTACCTTGGCTGCAGTGTAAGTCCCAGAAAGGGTCTGAAATCCCAGCTAGTGATGTACTTATTTCAGACAACGTGCAAAGAAACCAAATTCCCACCCACTAGAAAATATGGATGTACTCTTGGTTAGTGCAGAATTGTCTGGGTACTGAAAAGCAAAGGTGAGAACAGTGGTGGGAAATCAAGGTGTCCTCTGTAGGTATTTTTTGTTGGAGGCAGAGTGAAGGTTGGATTTAAGGTGATATCCTCTAATTGTCTTAAGAAGTGCCAGTGGAACCTCCTGGAAACATCTGGATTTGAGGGGCTAGAGGGTGGCTCCCTCATCCCCCTAGTCTGTGTGTTTGTTTTGGGATTTGTCAGTTTGGGAAGCTGAGAGCCCTGGGCAGCTCAAACCTGACAGATCTTCCCCACCTGCCCGAAGCGTGGCCGAGGGGCAGAGGCCCCTCCCCGGCCCAATCCTGAACCTCTGCTCTCCAGCCCATGGAATTGTGGCCTTTATTTCAAGCCCCGTCCCCAGAGGGCTGTGTGGGGAATAAGGACAGCTGATAAGCCTAACAGTATTGACTTTATGGGGAGTATTCAATGAATTTACTTTATGTAAGTAGCCTGTACTCTTATCTGCTGCCCACAGAGCATCTAAATCCCCATTTAGGGGGTTGATGAGTCATGTTCCTTGTACAAAGACCAGAGAATAAACAAGGAAAGGGGAGTCCCACCCCCACCCTGCCCCTTTCTTTTCTCCAGTACCTGGTCCTGCCCTACTCACCCCACACCCTTACCTTCTCACTGACTTTGAGTTTATTGCCTGGAAATAGAAGCACTCACCATTCCAGGCCTAGAGTCAAAGCCAAGCGAGCCCTCGTTTTGATAACATCAGCAGCTGGGCACACCCAGGGTTGTGTGTGCATCCCTCTAATTGGTAACTATGGAAGGCACACCTGAGGCAGTTGTGTGCCCCACTTTCTGCTGCAACGGTCAACATTTGCTCTGGGTAGAAGTACCCGCCTGGTCTCTTACCAGGTGCCTCAGTGAGGAGATGTGTGTGCCTGTGTGGGTGCTACCAAGGTTCCTGGGACTGTGGCTGGAGAGTGGGAATGAATTGTGGGAGAAAGGCCTGATGCCAACTCTTCAGACAAAGATTAGCCTGGACTATGGGACATAAAATGATAACTTGTGAAAAGTGTGCTTCTTAGCTCAAGTAGATACATGAGACTAAATGGGCAGCTCCTATCCGGAGGCCAGATGAGAAGGCAGAGAGGGTCAGGAGCTGGCTGAATGGACACAGGAAATCCAGGGTGGAAAGGAGGAGTGTGCTGTCACAGTATAGAGAGAGCCGCTAGGGTCACATAGCAATGTGTGTATAAATTTTTGTATGAGAAACTAACTTGAATTGTAAACTTTCACTTAAAGCACAATTAAAAAAAAAAAAAGTTAAGAAAAAAGAAAGGCCTGTTGCTCAATAGAAGCTTTTCTTTCCCCCTCTGTCATCTTCCTCATCCAGCTCTGGGCTCTGTTTGCTCCAAATAGTGGAAAGAAGGAAATGCTTTTAATAGCACAGGACTTGAAGCAATTGGAAGGAGAGAGGAAGGACCAGGGTACTGGATTGGGCAGATGAGAGAAAATAACGAAAGTGCCTTTTGGAGGAAATTAGAGGCATGTGTTTGGATTTCTCATCTAGCTTTTGGATACAGTTTTTCTGGTAATAAAATATAATAATAATATTTATTGAGCAACTATGGCTTTATTAAGTGCCTATTGCTATCATTTTCTATCATTTACATACATTAGCTCATTGAATCTTCACAATAACCCATGAAGTTGATATTATCCCCTGAGAAAACTAAGGCTAGGGGAAGTTAAATAATTTGCCCAGGGTGACAACTGATGTCAGAGCAATGATTCAAACACTGGGAAGTCTGCCTTCAAAGTCAAACCCAAGGTATGCTCAATTCCTATACTAAACTGTCTCTTGGTATTTCCCAGTATCTTATCTCACTTAATCCACATCAAACCAATGAGTATTTATGCTTCTCATTTGATTGGAATCAAGTTCGGAAGGATACCACTGCCGGCTCACTGTATATCAGAGACTCTGGTCTGCAGACTCAAGCATCTTTCCTTCACCGTCATGACTAGGGAATGACATCAGAGAAGTCCAAAACTGGTAATAAAACAGCGAGAACCCTCTTTGCTTGTGAGAGAAGACCAAAGGTCTCACCCCTCTGGAGCCATTCCCACTGCTTAGCAGAGCTATGGGCTGTGTCCTTGTATTTCCTCTCCCAGATGTCCTGTTTTCCTCTGTCACCTGCTTTCATCTGCAGCTGCTTGCTTGATTAGTTTTTTATTTGGGGGAGGTTGGAGTGAAGGGAGGCAGGAAGGGCCTTGGAGGATGTGAGCTTGTCACTAAATTGTCCTGTGAATCAAGTGACATTAACATTCTTGAGAATTTGCAGTGTCTGCTGGCTCTGGAAAGATATTTAAGAACCACTAGTAAAACAGAGTCAGCCATATGCTGAGCGCTCCTTTAGTATTTAACTTATTTTGGAGAATATTTGTCTAGGATGATAAACTTAAATTATATATGTGCAGATGACACAGTCTTGCTGAAAGCAAAGAAGACTTAAAGCACTTAACAGCCTTCAGTATGGATTACACCTCAACATAAAGAAAACAAAAATCCTTACAACTGGACCAATAAGCAACATTATGGTAAGCGGAGAAAAGGTTGAAGTTGTCAAAGATTTCATTTTACTTGGATCCACAATCACCACCCATGGAAGCAGCAGTCAAGAAATCAAATGATGTATTGCATTAGGCAAATCTGCTGCAAAAGATCTCTTTAAAGTGTTAAAAAGCAAAGATGTCACTTTGAGGACTAAGGTGCACCTGACCCAAGCCATTGTATTTTCAATTGCCTCATGTATGCAAAAGCTAGACAATGAATAAGGAAGATCAAAGAACAATCAATGCATTTGAATTATGGTGTAGGTGAAGAATATTGAATATACATGGACTTTCAGAAGAATGAACAAATCTGTCTTGGAAGAAGGACAGCCAGAATGCTTCTTAGAAGCAAGGATGGTGAGACTTCATCTCATGTACTTTGGACATATTATCAGGAGGGACCAGTCCCCAGAGGACATCATGCTTGGTAAAGTAGAGGGTCAGAAAAAAAGAGGAAGACCATCAATAAGATGGATTGACATAGTGGCTGCAACAATGATCTCAAACATAACGATTGTGAGGATGGTGCAAGATTGGGCAGTGTTTTGTTCTGTTGTACACGGGGTTGCCATGAGTCAGAATTGACTTTACAACACCTAATAACAACAACTTTATAGTTAAAATATATAATTTCTCATGTTAAATGACAATACTTTGATGAAATGCCTAGCACCACACCTAGCACTTAGTGCTAAATAAAGGGGGAAGAGAATTCAGTGCACAATCCCGAGTTGGTGCTCCATGCCATCCCCCAAATCCCAGCCATCATCTCCTCACCTGCATTCCTGTCATGGGCTACTAACTCGTCCTCCCGTGTCCTTTCTTGCCCTCCTCCATACAACAGCCAGAATTCTCTTCTTCTTAAAAAACAAACAATCACCAAGAACCATCTTCCACAGCCTTGGAAGCATTCACTTCTCGGGAAACAAGCTATGCATCTATTGACAGAAACCTAAGCAGGCTGGAGGCAGCTGTTCGGAGAAATGAGTCAGAGCTGGGCTCCCCTGGGGCACAGGTTCCCTAGGTCTCCCTGGCTTGCATTCATTCAACAAATGTCTTATCAAGCACCTTTTATGTGCAGCAAGTGCATAGTGAATTGGGTCTAGTGATTAACGAAATAAATCCTTGCCTTCATGAAGCTTACAGTCTAGTAGGCAAGCCACACAACAAGCAAGTAAGCTAAAAAGAGATTTGTTTAGAAGATTTCAACGTGGAGATAAGAGCCCTTTAAAAAAAAAGAAGGGAGCCAAAGGAATTTAAATTTGCCAAAAAAAGTTTCCTAAAAAGATAAAACCTATGACTCTGAGTCACACACACACACATACACAAATTAACTATAAAAGATGGGCATAGTCTTATTAGGAAAATACAAATTGAAAAAATAGGGATTGTAGTATTAATATAAAACAAAATGGGTTCATGACAAAAAAAGCAGGGCAAAGAGCGTCATTTTACATTGATGTAGGGTACAATTCACTAAGTTAATAAAATTGCCATGAGTCTATGCATTAAATGCAATGTATCAAAAGACATAAAAGGTCTAAAGCAACACTCCTGGAAACAAAAAGGAAGAACAGACACAAAATAGTAGAAAGAGATTTCCACACAACTTTCTCTTTGATAGATCAAATAGACCAAAACCCCCAAAATACAGATTGATTTAACGCATGTGTTAATCCTAGAGCTTGCTCTTTAAAAGGAATAGCATGGA